TTTTTATAATTGTTTTTTACATACAAATATGATTCTTTCCTTTTTTTTATTAAAGATTTGAGCTTTCCGAATATTTCATTTTAATTTTTGTTTGATTAATTTTACTTCTTAGAGATGTAAAATTGTAGCTAGATCAGTATATCAAATAATTTCAATTATCATAAAAAAAAATTGATATCTTATGAAAGTACATCAAAGATTTGTTTAAATTTATAAAACTTATAATAGCAAGTAGAATAAATCTATCATCAGGAAACAAACAATAATTTTTAATGAGTATGGATTTAAAAATAAATTTTGTAAACTTTTAATTTAGAGATTAATTAATCGATAGAATTATATCTCTGAATGTCCAAAATATATATCTAATACGTTAGTAAATGTATTACAAAAATTAAAATACAAAAGTTAATAAACAAGAAAACAAAATAAGAAAATGTTCATTAGTTTTAGACTAAGAAATTATTTTTAGATTTATAAACTAACTTTTAAAGTCATGTTGAGCCTTTTATTTACTTATAACAAATAATACGCGTTCGTAAATTTTTATTTCTCCTTTTTTATCATCTTGTATTTGATTTATATTATTGAACGACATTGTACAAAAATCAATTGTAATTTATAGATGCGATGTTTCAGCAGCCTCTCTACTTCTTATCGACTCGAATGAGAACCACTGGGATAATCGGAATAAAAGTGGGAATACAAACATTGAAACATAATAGACGCCCGCTCGATGGAAATATTAATGAGACAGCCGATGCAAGTATAACGGATTGCAAAGAATAGCGATCGTTTTCGAGAATGCATTGGAAATTGTATCTTTATGGAAAAATTAAGCATTTACATATGTGACGGGAAAGAAAGTTCGACTAGAAGTGGAAAGCGCTAAAACGATGGCAATTACGTGAGCTCTTAGTCGGTTAAATAATATTATAAATAACTCATATTAACGACTTTGATTTACTTATAAGAAATATAAAGTGATATACCTTTGTATAAAATATAGAATACTTAATAAATCAAATTATTAAAGTTGTGAAATATTTTATAAAATAAAAGTTGCATCCAAAAGAAGTAAGATTTTACAATGATGCCTTAGAAATTTTCTGGTAAACATTTTTAACTGAAAAAACGCACTTATTATAAAACTATCTGAAAACAATTAATGGATCAATTATAATGTCAATAATATAAACAAGTCAGTAATTATTACTGTAATTTACCATGTCTTTTTTTAATACAATTGTGTTTACATATTGAGTCACATACTATATATAGATAAGAGACTATAAATCTTTATTTGTACCCAAAATTTTACTTTCCAATTTCAGTTCACTGTTTAATGTAAATTTCTGTATATATCATTAATTGTACGATATTTTTTTTTAAATATAATAAATTAATATTTACCATAAGCCAAAATATAAATGCCTCGTCTAGAGAAAAAAATGATTAAGAACCGTAGCTCACGATTGTATAATAAATAAATGCAAGGGTTAATGCAACTCGTGAAATTATTCAATAGTTTGATTATTAAGATCACTCCTGCAAACAAATTTGTATTTTTTATTTAGCATTAGTACCTTTTTCATTTTTACATATCATATGTAACATCTTGAGCTTTTTAGTCTCAAATAATTTTTTTATTTTCATTATACTAATTACCATTGACGAATGAAGAAGACATTTTTTTACTCCATGTTATCAAAATGTAAATAACATTTAAATTTTACAAAAGGTATTTTTTAAAAGTTAAGTAGTACAATATAATTATGTTTATAAACTATAATAAAATTATAATTATAATACATATAATATCATTTGTGTAATTTTATCATTAAGTTATTTCTGTCAAATTATTATAAATCATTTAAGATTAAAAAATTAATCGTATGTTTCACTTACGTAGTAATTTTTGAAAGTTTAGTAAAATTATTTTAATTAATAAACACTTGAGAACATTTGTATTGAAAGAAGAATTTTTTATTTTACTACAGAAAAATATTATCTAACTACAGAAAAATAACTTTTAAAAATTATTTCAATTTGTATACATACCTTTAAACGCCACCTAAGCATTGCGAAAGAAATAATAAAACTTCTGTTAATATTATTAAGTTGATTAATTATCGAAAAGTAATATTCCATGCAAATTGTGGCAAAATGTTAAAGAATCCAGTTATCAGATCAGCTATGATGAAACTTACATTAAACATATACATTTTCATTTGTTAATAAACAGATTTCACACTTAGCCAGATATTCGCCTCTTTTGTCATTTATCGCAACTAATAACGATTCGTTTCTATTCCAATTAATCTTACTAAACCACTTTAAAGAAGTGTTTTGCTAATTTCTTCTACAATTTGAACGCTTTCATAAATAATTATCCTCGTACCGAAGTGCTATAAATTAAAATAAAACTTAAATATTGAATTATATCAAAATCACAAGTAAAGTTTCATACAATAATAATGTATGAGAAAAATTGTATTTTTTATTGCAGTTTTATATTAATTTCCAATCCACATATAAAACTATGTTTTATAACTATGAATTATTTACCTATTATCATTGTTAATAATAAAAAAATAAGCATGTATGGACAATTATTCCAATATATCAAAATATTAATTTCATGCCTTATAACGAAGTTCAAATATTCAAATCGCCATATTGTGACGTTTCCAGAACAGTATATAGCCAGCTAAATGAGCATACTCAAGTGATGTTTCAAGAAGAGGTTATGTACATTAATATCGTACAATAGTTGGTAATCATTGTAACATCAAAGAGAATTTGTTACAATAATATTTGAATCAAAGAAATAACTAAATCCAATTCCCTATAATCATATTTAACACCATAAAAAAACAAACTAGTATGGAATCCAATTGTTTACAAAGTACAATTGCAAATGTACAAGCAAAATTTGAAGATGTTCGACAACTATTGGATGATCATGAAAAACTCAGGACAGAATGCGAACCGTATAAAATAAAATATCAGGCAATTGAAATTTTACAATCATTGAAAACAGATCTGATCAACGTCTTAACAAACATGCCAGAGGAAGAGAAAGAGGAAGTGATCATAATGCTTGGTGTAGTGCACTTGAAACTTGGTTTATTACATACTGATACGGAAGAATTGAAAGCAGGTGAAGAACAATTCATGAAATGTATAAAATTATTGAAAAATAAGGAACTAGAACCAAAAGTTATTTTGTCAATATTAAGTGCTTTAAATCAATTGGGTATTATATGGTCTAGATGGAATCAACCAATGAAAGCAAAAAGTTTTTTAGATCAAGCTGAGAAATTGTACAATGACTTTATGAATACTAATAATCCATGTAGATACCCTATTAATATAGTCCAAAATTTTGGAATCGAACAGGTTAACGATGAATTAAATCCTAAAGAAATAATGGAAAAAATTCATACCTTGACATTATATTATTTAGCTCAGGTATATAGTTCCTTGAAAGATCATTATCAGTCTGCAATATATTGCCATATGACTTTGCGCAGACAGTTAGGTCATAATGATATTATGCAAGACTTAGATTATATTGATTGGGCACTAAATGCAGCAACATTATCACAATATTTTATAGAAAATGATGGTTTCCCTCAAGCAAAACATCATTTAGCAGCTGCATCTTACATACTACAAATATATGAAAATATGTTGAAACAAAAAACAGAAGATAATGGTGAAGATGAAGCACTTGTAGCTGAATGGGAAAATTTTAAACATAGAAGTGCAGATGTTGCCAGGTGTTGGGCTAAATATGGAATTTTACTTATGAGTTTATCAAAACAAAGGCTTCTACAAAAAAATGAGTCAAAACAGGATAATAATCAGATAGATAATAAGGATTTCTCAAAATTAAAAATAATTGACGATTTAAGATTCAATATCTTAGAAAAAGAGATAGAAGCAATTGCCAATCAAATAACTGATAAATACTTGTTAGACTTTGCTGATGCAAGATTAGTCTTCTTAAATGCTCAAAAATGGCTAGAGCAAGCAAAAACATATTATACTTTAGAAAATCATGCATCTGATCACATACTGATTGTACAAAGTATTTCTCAAGCTTATAAATATTTGTCATTTTTTGAGGAGAACGAAGCTAGACAAGCAAAAATGCACAAAAAGAGAATAGATATTTTAGAAAATGTTATCAAAGAATTAAATCCTCGTTATTATGAATCTGCTTGCAGGCAAATTTGGGTTGAATTAGGAGAAACATATTCTGACATTCTTGATATAAAACTTGATCGCTTACGAAGCTCTGATGAAAAACCTACACCACAGGCATTAACAAAAATTAATCACTTAGCAAAAAGTTCTATAAAAAATTTTCAAGCATTTCTCGATTCCTTACAAATTCATAATTCTAATTCTGGACCAGAACAGTTTTCTAATGAATTAGTGCAACCAGCTTTGTTTTCTTATTTCCACCTTGGTAGATTGTACAATAAAATAATAACTCCTGACAAAACAATTCAATTGGAAAACATGCAAAATAGTTATAATGCATATAAATTCGTAATTGATTATTGGAAAAAATACCCCAATGCGGCTGATGTGATGGGAGTTGAACTAAATCTATGCAAAGAATTGGTAAATTTGTTACCAATGAAAATAAACATGTTACGAGAAGGAATAATAAATAAATAAAGCTATATTCCATTAATGCAGAGATCTTAATCTTAATATTTATGTAAATTTTAAATCACTTTTTATAAGTAACATTTTGGTGCAGTATTATCTATTTTGTTTTCACTTTTTTCTCTTTCTCTAATTGTATCATAATTTATTTATAATGATTAAAATATAATTATAATGTAGAGTAAGAGTATTTTATGTCAATAATGTATTATTAAAATAAGAATGTAATAAAAATATATTATACATTATACATATTTTACTTTCTTAAAAATTAAAATTTATATTGCATTTTGCAATCTCTAGCAATAAAAAAATCACTTCTTTTCTACTTTTTCACTGGTACCTGCAGCCTTTGCTTTCTTAGCCTTCTTTTTCAATCTGTAAAACACATCTGTCCTCAATCTATTTCTGATCTGCCTTGCTTTTCTTAACTTGAAACGATCAAAATCACTAAGCTCCAAACGCTGAAATTAAATAAAAATATATTTTATTTATTGTTTAAAATATAACTATTTTTAACCGTTTGAGACCCATGCAGCGCGATCACGCTCTTCAGATTTTGTGTCGAAAAATCCCAGTACACTTCGAGCGCTATGGACAACTGACGGTGCTATCACCAACTGTCGAAGTGGCGCGCTCAACTTTACTGATGCATGTAAGTCACATAGCATCAATACGCGCTATCAGGCCGATTGGGATTTTTCGACATAAAATTAAACAAGCGCTATCACGCCATTTGGGCTTCTCCGCACTCGATTAAGACAAGCGCTATCGCGTTGTTCGGGTTTTTCAACCGTATTCTTTTAAAAGTCTCTGGGACTCAAACAGTTAATTATCACATATTACAACAAACACAAAGTATTAATTTTTTATATATTATTACACTCACTTTTTTCTTGGCTTCAACTTTCCCTGCCCACATTGTCTGTTTCCAAAGGTTATTAATATTTGCAGTTTCCCACGCTTTACGTACAACACGAGTGGACCCAGTATATGGAAAACGTATACGAAATTTGGTAAGATGAAGCTCATTTAACCTCATCTCACAACGTGGAACATTTGAAGCAGGACCATCAACTAAAACCTACAAACATAAATAAAACTTAATACAACAGTTATTATATACCTTAAATATATATTAATTAAACATTTTTGTATCAGTTATAGTACATTGGCATCAATTAAATCAGCCGGCAATTCCTATCAAAATATTGGATCATCATTATTATATTACTAAGACAGCTATTATACATTGTTTTGATTAATTCAAAAATTATCAATCTATAATGTATACCTAAATATATTATATACTAATGACAATAAATGTAGTTGTACCATAAAGATAAATAGATTACATATAATCATGTTTCTATCTGATTAAACTAACTATTAAAATCAATCAACAATTGACAATCAATTATCAACAATTAAAATCAATTTTGTTAAAAATAGCCGCATGTTTTTAAGAATTGAAAACATAAGATATCTAAAAATAAATTATTTTAACGCGTTTAATAACTTAAGTAATAATAATATAGAACACTAAATATTTTCATTCAACACTAAATGAAAGTTGTAACGTATTTACGAAAATAGCTTACCCGATTTTGATCAATGATATCCACAATAGCAACAAGTTTACCCTTATATACTCCATCGCTCACATAAGCGATACGACCAGATTCCACGAACCTTTGAAATGGCTATTTAACAAAGATAATCCCATTATTTTTACAATAATAAATAATTACTTCAATCGAGCTAATTTATATATTAGTTATTGCTTAAACATATATGTACAATTGTTTATAATGTAGAACTTCACCATACCATGTGGCTGAAAATTGTGCTGAATGTAAGGTTATATCAAATAATCTTTTATATTTCTTATGCATTATTAAATATAAATGACTATAAATTAAACTTTGTAATAAAAGAAAAATGTTTTTTATTTAAGATAATATCCTTTAGGTCAATATCATAAATTACAATTGTAATAGCGTTAAATTTAAAACTGCATTTCACTTACCATGGTTTACCGGAAGCAAAAGACCAACACAACTTACAACCGGATAAAGCATTGATAACACCAACTGTTCAAAATAAATTGTTTCTATTCTGAGTCATAATTAAGTTATTTTTTTATAATAAAATTCTCTAGATATACCTCTATATTTAATCCAAAATATATATTATATTAAATTAATGAATAATAATATATATTACTAATTATTTACCTTTATTACATAAAAACGGAACAATTATTAATTACTTTCTTATTTTGGAACAGAAAGCATATTTGTATTTTTAAAATGTGTTGCAGATTATAAAAATATTTGCATCAATTATTTTTATTAAAATATGAAATGTATACATGTTATAATATTTAATTAAATTTGTAATTATTAATATTTAAATAACATTTTTATAATAATATTTAAAAAAAAATTTCTTGAATTTTACAAAACTGATAGTTCTTTAAATTTAATAAAACCTAGAGTTTTTTATATCGTGTAGAATTTATTTGTATTTTATTAATTGAGTAAAAATTATTTACAATATTTGCAGCGACAAAATACATAACTTTTTGTACAGTTAATGTTTTAGTCGTTTGACATAAAATCTTATAAAGTGATAAATCTATCTTATACTTTGTTCATGGTATAATTCTTGCAAACCAACATTTGGTATAAAATAAATACATCTCACAAAAATGTCATATAGTCTTTTTTTAGAAGAATATAAATAAAATATAAAAAATGGCTTTAACATACATTAATTACACAAATTATACGACAAAATTTGATATTGTAGTAGAAAAACTACTTGTATTGACAAAAAAGAAAAATGATGAAACAAAGTTGATCAACACTTATCTTTATGACCATAATAATTTTGATTATCGATATTAAACAATTTTAAATAATGATGTAAGTTTAATCAAATAATCTTGTTATTGTAACTACTATTTTTTTGAGATATAATGTTTATTAAAGTAGTTATTAAGTAGTTTAAGGATTAGTGGACATTTTTCGATGGCGGCCGAATCGATTGCGGGATGAATCAAACTAATCCTCAGGTGCATACGTACCTTCTAAAAATTGCGTGGGTGTACGTCACGTGGTTCGAATGTTACAGCGTTTCAAAGTGGGACTGATTATGTAGGTCTTACGAGTTACTTTTAATGCTGCTACGAGCTTCGTAGCGAAGCTAGGAAGACGAGCTTTGAGTGCATGAGAGCTTACAGTGTGCCCTATAAGTACATGTGCTTTTCGCGAGCTTTTTTTTACTGATTTTAGATCCGAAAATTTGGGTGTGAGAGCGAGTGACAAAGGTCTATATTTTTCGATGATGGCCAAATCGATTGCGGGATGAATCAAACTAATCCTTAGGTGCATACCTATCATGTGTGAAAATTGCGTGGTTGTGGGTCACGTGGTTCTAATTTTACAGCGTTTTAAAGACCGACATATTTTCCTTCTATTCTCTGTTCAAAATTTTGCAGCCTGGTGTTTAATTGCTGCTCAATTTTGCGAATTTGTATCAAGAGAACATGGTATGACAGAAGGTCGCTCGCCGAGATAGTTCCAAGAAATGACGTCATTTCCAAGAATTCTCGGGCAATTATTTTACAGCCTATGTGGACAATACTTTTGCCGCTTCTGGGCAATAGTTACGCCGCCTCGGTGTACAATACTTTTGCCGCCTTGATGAACAATATCTTTGCGGCCTTGAACGAAAACTTTTGGCCGATTTAGCGACTTTGTATCAGGAAAACATAATATGACAGGAGGTCGTACGTCGTATCATTTACAAGAATTCTCTAGACGATATTTTTCCAACCTTGGTGTAAAACTTTCGACTGATTTTGCGATTTTGCATCAGAATAATATAATATGCGAGGAGGTTGCTCGCTGATAAAATTGCAAGAAATGATATCGTGTCTAAGAAATATATGGTTAAACTCTTGCAGTCGTTGCGTCGATATACACATTATACGTAGTTTTGTAATTGCAGGGGATTTTAATTATTTCAATTATTTTACTTACCTTACTTACCTTCCCTTCTCTTCCTTACATATCTTAATTGATCTCAATCTATGTATTATTTCAATGAACATTGGTCACTCTTTATTTTCAAAGTACAATGGGAACAGTGAAAATTTACAAGAGGTAGGAAATATCCTAAACTTTGTGCGCAGCTCTTAGCTTGGTATCGATTCCCAAAAATGATTCTTTGGAAAACGATACCAATCACCAGGTCTCACCACGTGGAGGTGGCTACGCATCGAGACCCGACATGCGTCCTAGTGGCGCAGCCTGCTGGCGCTACCTGTATCAAAGGTACCCTAATCTAACTTGGAGCGAATTAAGTTAAAGTGACACTATTGACACTTTATTTTATTTCGTGTCTTACAAAGGGAACTTCGATTCGGTATACTGAAACTCTACTGTCGCAACGCTAAGATATTTTCAAGTTCCCATAGAAATAGGGAATGAAATATCAAACACGCGAGCAAATAGAAAATCGCGACGCGCCCGAACGAGATTGCGATTATTCGAAAGACCGATTAGCCTAGGCGATGTACTCCCGTGTACAGAGATAACTTCATACCTCGGCACTCTCAATCCGATCGGGCCTAGCTCAATTCCAATCACTGTCGCACTCGCCAAGACTTACACGTGGACCAAGGATAGTCCCTGAACCAATGAAACTTCTAGTGTCAACGCGAGGGCCCTGCTGGGCGGTTGCCGGCCAAGACAGACACTTCGCATCCCAGCCACACGGGGTAGAACTTAATCATCCCTGTGGTCTAACCGTAGATGGTACTAGTCCGTCAGCCAGCATGTGCCCGAGCCCCAGTCGCGTACGACTTAGGCAGCGGACCGCCCCGTCGAGGTCAGAAGACGCACTGATCCGAGGGGGTCACCCTGGAACCCGATGCATGACGAGATTGACAGTGACTGGAAATGAGTGTCGGAGACGAGTCGTGAGGATGACTTACGAAGCATGTACTTATCGAGTACACGAGAGCACGTCGCGTAGGCTAGTCGGTACTTACGAACGATCGCGATTATCGCGAGAACAATTATGTTCTATTTGCTAAACGAGGGGGATAAGAAAATGATAGAGAATTTATAAATTTCGCTCCAAGTTAGGTAGCTTACCTTTGTACAGATAGCGCGCACATGATACTTAGTCTATGGATCTATCTTATGATTACTTAAAAGTAAACGCACGCATCGTTCATTGATGTGTCGCAAACAGAATCTTGAGAAACCTAAAAGCTAAAACAGAATATATTATTGTTAATATGTAGCTGAAAGGAAAGGGATTAGTACGAGGAAACCATCAAGGATAATAACCAAATGGAACGAGCAAGCCAACGACGAGACCTGAGCAACATAACTACGAGACAGAAACATTCCAACGGTGAGATATAAACATACCAACGAGGAAGCGCTCGAGTATTATACGAAATACTCGAACGCTCTAACGAAAACAAATCGAACGGAAGTCGTAAAATTTGTGAAAGGAAAGATTTAGCCAACGATGAGACATAAGTAAACCAACGACGAAGCATTCGAATATTATACGAAATACTCGAATGCTGAAACAAAGACACATAGAATGAAAAAAATAAAATCTGCAAGAAGAAATTATTGTTAAATTATTTAAGAGAGTGGACAATGGCCACTGAATAGCCATTGATCTAGCCAACGATGATATACAATACAAATAAACCAACGACGAAGCATTCGAATATTGTACGAAATACTCGAATGCACAAACAATGAAAACTAGAATGAAAGAAATAATATCTGAAAGAAGAAAGATAATTAAAACCTGAAAGAAAAAATAATTAGTACCTGAAAGAAGGAATTATTATTAAATTATTCAAGAGAGTAGACAATGGCCATTGAATAGCCATTGATCTAGCCAACGATGATATACAATACAAATAAACCAACGACGAAGCATTCGAATATTGTACAAAATATTCGAATGCACAAACAATGAAATCTAGAATAAAAGAAATAGAATCTGAAAGAAGAAAGATAATTAAAAGCTGAAACAAAAAATAATTAGTACCTGAAAGAAAAATATTAACGCGGACCCTCCGAAGTCGAAGCGACAACTGGCTCGAGCCTGCACGCGGGCCCCTTATATAGCGGCGGCCGACCGAAGATCGGCGAAAATTTCCGAACTTTACCGATTCCTTTAAAAGTTACTTTTCCGCTGTAATAACTAATAATTTATTAATTTTCTTGACTTTTATCGTTAATATACTTTGCAAACTATTTGTTATCAATGATTTTAATTTGTTATTAACAATAAATTTATTAATTTATTAACTTCTTGTAAGTTCCGAATATATTCTAACACAAATACGTCGTTTGTTAAGTAGTAGGCAATAATTTATTAATTTTTTCACTTTTATTATAAATATACGTTGCGAGCAATTTGTTATTAACAATATTAATTTGTTATAAACAATCAGTGTAATAATTTATAAACTTTTTGCACATTATAGTTACATTTTGACACAAATTCGTTCCAAGTTCAAGTAATAGCCAGTAGTTCCTTAATGTTTTCACTTTTATTGTAAATTTACGTTGTGAACAATTTGTTATTATCATTAATAATTTGTTACTAACGATAAGTATTATAATTTACGTATAATAGTATATGTGTAATTATTACTCAAAATGTTCGAATTGATGCTGATAATACTATTAGTTTTTCATTAATTACAATCTTCTATGCAATTAATTTACAAATTATATGCACAGATTATAAAAACAATATCCTTATGAACATTCTCATATCATTTTTGTTCTTATTTTACTTCTAATTTTGTTCATAATTAATTATTCTGTTGGACCATTGCGCCGATCGTTGTATCGAATCACGTACGTCGTCAAGTAATAATAACAAACTAATTAGCGCCAAATTATGTGCAAAAATTGTATAAGAATGCTGCGCAAGGAACCAGCTATGCGATACAGTTATAAAAGTTCATAAATTAATCGCAGAAATTGCATAATTTGTTAATTTAAAATTATTCCCCAATAATTCCCAATCGCTAATACG